CTTTATCAGTTTCCTTTGGTGGTGTCATATTTACCTGATTTTTCATAATCCTTGAGTCCTAATGTGGTATCCACACATTTGAATAATTTATCTATTCTCCCGGAGTGTGCGGGTTCACTTCAGTAAAGACAGTCTCAGCTCAGTTTGGGTTTATGGATGGGTCCGCTGGTAATGTCTCTGGGCAGGTGGGGCCTGCTCTTAGGGTCTATTTGTGGACAAAGCAACAAGTTCTGATGTTAGGGGTGAGGGGTCACTAAGTTAAGATAGGATTGATGGCTTGGTTCCTTGCCCATGTGAGACTGTAGGAAGGCATTTAAAGTTGCCTAGGTTCTCTGAGCAAGACTGGGTATTATCCTGAGAAGCAGGTAGGGCTTTGAATGAAATTTCCTACCTTAGCAGGGCAGCAGGATGGGACCCAGGATCTGCATAGTTTATTGTCTAGGGAACTAAATTGGTTAAGAGTATACACTGAATATGCTGGTCAGGTGAGGCCACTGGTTTGGTTCTGCAGGACAGGGAAAGCCACAGGCTGTGCTATCTGTTCAAGTGTCCCTGTAAGCATAGCTATTGGAAGGTCTATGTAGCTTCTGGTGCAATTTGGTAAGGTACCCATATTCAGCAATGAGTGGGGCTATGAATTCATTTCTTTGCCCAGTGCAGCAGAGATATCTCCAAGACGGAGGCTTTTTATTTGGTACTTGATTCAAGCTGGGCCATGCCCCAAGTTCCTTGACTGAACTTGGCTACTGGCTTTATTCTGGGGACAATCAATTCTGCCTGCCCATATCTTGTCTGGCATTATTGGGTTATGAAGCAGCCTCCAGGTTCCAGCCAGCCCTTCCTGCCAGACAGGGCCTAGGGCCATGCTCCTGCCTGGGAGGAGCTGGGAGGGCCCACTTCAGCTAATACCCAAATTTTCTCAAATGTGCTTTTTGTCAGGAGGGGGAAGGGAGCCATGCTCTTCAGAGGGTGGAGCTGAGTCGCCCCTTCTGCCTAGGCAGGGACAGACCAGGCTCTACGGCCTGCAAAATTCATTTAAGGACCCAAATCAAACCACCTGCGTGCCACTGATTTCCCTGGTGAGACTATACCACCAACTTGATTCCACACTTGAGCAGGTGAACCTCGTTAGTGCTTGGCTCCTGTGAGAAGGAGGTCTGCCTGCTGAGATCTAAGTGCTAGTGGCTGGAAGGGCTTCCCCCTATTTTCAGCAGTCAGATTGGCAGTGGTTGAGCCCTGTGGATTCCTCTGTGATCTCCAGGAGTAAAACCAGCGTATACCAGCTCCCATGAAGTGACCCACAATGTTGGGGGCACTGGATGTCATCCTGGGCTCTTTCCCCACCAGGGGAGCAGTAAGCTCAGGGGACACCCCTCTGCACAGTGCTGTACTGGCCTGGGGGAGGGGGAGGGACAGTGCAGTCCGCACAATGCCGTTCCTCTTACCTTTCTACTGCAGCTGTCTTGGTCTCTGTGGTGCAGGGAGTTACTTGAGCCTCACTCCCAGGGCCTAGGGCTCTCTCAATGGTGTTTTGCCCATGACAGCTATTAGTTGTTCTTGTGAGGGGATATGGTATCAGGGATAACCTGTGTCACTGTCTTGGTGATATCACTCTCTATTAATTACTGACTACATTCTTAGAATATCCTCACTGGTAGTGAGCAATCTCATATTCTTTCAAGGTAAACCTGATTTCTAAATACCGCAGTCATCTGGAGTCAAATCTGGAAGTAACGGGTCATGTAGTTAAGAGTATAATTATAAAACTGAGTCATAACTTTTTTAGCCACATACTCTTGAGAATACAATCAAGCCTATGAAACCTAGAAAAAGGAGGGCTAGTAGATGAAAGGAATATTTTGCATTTGAAAGCACAGGCCTGTTGCTCTGAGATGTGTACTTTCAAGAGTTTTGTAAAAGTCTGGGGGTTTCTGAACAGCACTTGCGTTTTCTCGGGATGCTTTACACCCGTGGAGACTGCGCTGAAGGGCGGGGACAGTCCAAGCTCCAGTCCCTCTTCATCGGCCCCACCCTTCTCCATTGTGAATGTGAGCTTAGTAAGGGGCAAGGGTTTATGTTTTGTTCACTGCTGTTTCTAGAACTCCTGCAATTTACTAATCCCTCGTTAGGCATTTATATAATGAGTAAGTGAATGAATGGTAATTTAATATTGGAGTCCCAGGTAAGATTTCAGGTACTAAAAGAACTCTTGTGCTAGAAACAATTTTTAAGAACCACTGCCACAGATAATTCAAGTGGAGATACTGCTGGGTGCATAATGGGCAGTTAGATTTTCTTTGAGATTTAGACACACTTCATCAGGGTTAGTAATACGGTCTCAGTTCTGTTTGAGAATGAGTTCAGACAGACTCTCAGGGCGAGCACAATAAGCATTCAGTGTGACCGCACGGTGGTCAGTCTCTGAAATCGAAGCCTGGGTCAAGCAGCCCAGCAGCCCCCGAACAAGGAGCTCCTCTGCTGATGGACGAGGCTGTCAAAGTGGTCATACATTTTAGCCTTTGTAAAAGAAAGAACAAGAATAAAACCTTGTCCTTAATATTACTCATTTTGTGTGTACCTATGGGTGGCCATGGGAACAGTGACGGATTATCAGCCCTGGACTCATTGGCTAAAATAAAGAGCCTAAGCTTTTGGGTGAAATGAGGGGTGTCAATGAAAATCAGCAGGACAATGAGCGCATAGTCAATTCTGCCGCAGGAACATCTTCTGCTGAAAGAGACGCAATTTAAAAAAAAATGGTTTTCTTAGAAAACAAAGACAGGTATAGAATTTATGTAAATATTATTTTTTTCAAAAAAGGCATTTCATCTAGCAAGGGCAATACAAAGGGGTTATATAAATTTATTTTTCATATAACAATTGATTAGCTTAGAAAAATTCCCATTTTCAATGTTTAATTCCACCTCTCATTTTTTAAAAAAATTACTAAAAGGACAAAAACCCACACAAAAATACAATCTGTATCTGTTCTATATTTACAGATAATTGGTCACTATTAAGGCACAGATTGATTAAAAACTACCATTTATTCAAATAATCCAAATATTTTGTGCATCATATAACACTGACAACACCGTATACTGTAGTGTCATATTCCCTTCCTTGCCTCAAGAGAAAGTGAGAAAAGTAATTTCCAGTGTTCTTATTTATTTTTAAACACCCTATTTAATCTAGTTTAATTGGGACAGTTTTCCCTTTGGCATAAAGCACTGTTCATAAAACATCATTAACTTAATACTGCAAATTCATTCCCTCTTCCTCGTGTTGCAAATGCATGCATGATAGAGGGCTGGGAAAAGAGCTCCAAATGATTTTTATTTGGCAAAGTTTTATTAAAGAATTGATAAATTTTAGAGAACTGAGTTGTTGAATGGGAGACGAACCTGGAATTCCCGTGCTGAGTGTGTAGCATGATGTGTTCAGACAGCCACAAAAGATGGGGCGCTCCATGTACGATGTGTGCATGTGATGTGCAGAGGGTGACCCCACTGTCCTTTCAAAGGGAGCAAGTTAGTGTCACATCCGTAAGCAGACCCAGTTTAGTTTCCGAATGGACATCTGCTTAGTGCCATTATAATTGATAATTTTATAACAGGTCTATTATCTATGCCTTCAAAGTAACCAACACAATTTTTTAAAGTGAAAATTTTTCTGTGTGCAAAATTTCTCTTCAGTTTTTGTTCTTTCATGGTAAGACAGCCATGGAAAAATGTCAGGCAAGTATTTCTGATTTGGCATTTGTTGAAAGTCCCCAATTGTTACGTATGCTTATCTAATGCCTTCTGCTAAGAGCATGCAACAGTGGTTTATGTCCATGTAGAAAATCTTAAAAGAATGAACATAAATAAGTCATTACAGTACAAGTAATTCACAACATTTCCTATGGGAAGGTTTTCCAACAAATTAATACACTTGGAAATAATATTTCTTTGAAGAAAGAGAGGCACTTAGTGATTTTCTTCATAAATTGAAAACCCTTCATAAATCCACAATAAGATGTCTGAAAAGACCTAGGAAACAATGTTGCCCAATTTCTTGAACTTTCACAGTATAAGATTTTAACAATGAGTCTAGCCACTTAGAAAATAGTCCTTTTTTCCTCTTACTTCAGAACTCCGCTGTCTTTACAAACTGTCACCCTAGAGACTTAAATAAAGTCTTTCTGTTCTCAACAAACATAAGTCTACTTCAAGCAGACATGTATGGTTTCAGGAAAGTCCTTTGACCATATGGAGCACAGCTAATGTGTACATGAAAAGAACAGTAATCTATTTCTCTTCCTAATGGCAACAGTGCTGTCTTGTCAGATGATTATTTGTCTTTTTTTAAATAAAGTGACAATCTAGGGCTCCAGTCAGTTATTGAATGCCGTCCATTCTCTACCATAAATCTCTAGTAGATATCAATTTAATCAATGTACTGTATGCTTATAATATCTAAAAATAAAAAGTTTGATATAAATAAGTGTCCTTTAGTGCCAGTATACTAAAAATAGCCCTTTGCCTTTAGACAACCATTAAAATCATTTTTAGCAATATAGGCAGCAGCTAAATATGATAACTGCAAAGGGTTAATATTGCAAAGTTCATTTGGTCTTTCTTTGCACCTCTTACAGTGAACTAGGTTCATTGTTAATTATTTCTAGGATGCTGACATAAATGAACAGAACTGGTCCAGAACATTCTGCACAAAAACTAATAATCCAGTACCATTTCAAATAAAACTTTTAACACAGTCAGAAAAATGTGACTAAATCTGATCTGTACCATTACATCAGGTAACATAAAAATGAGAGAGAGATAATTTCCACAGGACAAGAAATTAGAAAGTGTAAAGTGCTGAAAGACCTCAATACTTATTTTAAAGCAGTACCAGAAAATTCCACTTTGATTATTTTTTTTTTAAATCCCCAAATACAAAAACAAAACAGGCGAACAATAACTTCAATGTTTTCTGGCATCCCAGATGTCAAATTATCCTTCATTTTAGGTAAAAAAAAAAAAAAAAAAAAAAAAATCAGTGCATATGTTATGTAGGTCAACAAAAACAGGAAACAAAGCCCTACCCCCATATTGCAAATTCTGTCCAATTACCGTTTTTTTAAAAAGTAATCCGCATGTGGTGTTCTGTATGATGACATAAAAACATCTTTTCTTCCTTTTGGGCACAAAATTCAGGTGTGAATAAGATGCTTTGGTCCTGATACCAGACACCAGAGTGCTAAGGACGGGGCGCAGCGAAGGCCGTCCACAGAGCTCCAGCGGCCAGCCTGACGAGGGCGCTGGCGGGTGTGTGCCTGGACGTGCTGCTACCAGCGGCCGCTGACACTGGCGATGTCCGAGTGGTACTGACGGGGCAGCCTCCCACTGGCTCCACCTTCCAGGAAAGAGGTGCGTGAATTTGGTGGTTCAAAAAGCTTTCTTCGGTTTTTATTTAGTTCTAGGGAGAGAAAGAGAATTGTTAGAAGCTCAATGGAGAAATTCTGTAAACTACAGGACATAGCAGTAGGGCTCAGAAAATGATGACACTGTAGGTTTTGAGGTGGGGGGGAAGTCAAGTCTGGTAGAAAAAGGAAAACCTTTAGTTAATGGTCAAGACACTTCTCAAATGCTAAAAGTCTGATTTTAAAGACAACATGTTGTTAGCTGAGAACCAAGGACAGCAAATAGTTTTTATTGCTGTTTGTAGACTATCTGGGGGAGATGTCACTCTCAGAACCCTCCAAACTCTAGATACACAAATTAGACAGTGTGACCTACCGCACATGTCCTTTCAGAGGCAAAGGGAGCAGGGCCATCACCGCTGGTGAAAGGCATGAGAGGATGCATTACCAATGACACAGAAAATTATTACAGCTGTCACACTCACCCATGTCAAATACAGCAAGCATTAAATCATAGAGTCATACATGAAAAGAAGACGCCACGTTAAACATGAGAGTAATGAAGGAGCACAGTGACGTTCAGCCACCGCCCACCAGCTCCGGAGGCCTGTGTGCCTCGAGTCAGAAGGGCTGTGTGAAGAAGCGTGTCAGCGGGAGGTTTCCTTGAATAAAAAATGGACTTTTATAGTAAAAACAGCAACCATGTAGGAAATAAATCCAACTGAAAACAACCAAACAAATCCAAATTTTCAAGGAAAAATCCAAGATGCTCAATTTCAACGAAACCAGAGAACTTACAAAACACTGTTTATCTTTTTCCAAGTAAAAATTAATTGAAGCAGCCTACCTTGGTTACAGCCACACAACCACTCTATTGCCACCACCACGCACACATACAAATCCTCAAACCCACGGCTGGAACTCCTGCTAGGGAACTCACACAAGTACACAGAATGGTCAGACTGGGAGACTGGAAATTAGGGTTCTGATAGCCACCAAATGCAAGTATCTCTAAACTTACTCATTTCGAATAGAGGTATGATGTAATTAACATGCTTGAAGTTGTCTCTCTCTTTTAGCAGGGTGGAGCCAGTCATTCAGCACCTTACATGGGCACAGTACTCAGTACTGTTTCAACCTCACACAGGTATTCTCCCGTTTTGAATTCTGACACTGCACTGCGAGCCCTGGTCTGCTCCAGTGACAGCCAGAAGGGCTCCTGTCTCCTGAGTTCTGGAAAGCGGACCGGCACCCTTAACATTGCACCTCTCTGCCTTGCAAAATATAAACGTCTGCCCCATAGACGTGATGCAAGAATGGAGATACCTCTCTTTTGTTCACATTTAGGTCTTAAGGGAGAAAAAAAATTAACAGTGCTTTATTATATGACAACCACTTTGTATTTGTTTGGTTCTATTTAAGTTCTCCTAAAGGGGTAGATAATTTTACCTTCTCTATTATATAGATACGGAAATTGAGTTTTAAAAATAGCCAAAGTAACTTGTCCACACAAGCTATAATCCTGCCTGATGCAAGAGGCCAGGCCCAGGGCTGCACTGATTCATCCACTATGTGGAGAAGGCCAATCAAACATCAGGAATACAAATGTGAGAAACTGGTGGTTTCATGTGTGTCAGGTAGCAGTGTTTTACTTCATAGTTTACTATACCATTTTTTTTTTAAATAGAAAATTGTAGCTTAAAACATGCAGGCATGCTCATAAGATTGGCTATTGTTTCAAGTTCCTGCAGAAACACGGTAGTCACAGTAGCAATGACGTTCCTAGTAAAAAATGAATATACGTATCTTACTTATAAAAGCAAACAGAAATTCAGAAATCAAGATGGAATTTAAAATATTTAAAGGCAACTGTAGGAGAGTTAAGAAAAAAATGAATCCTCTCCCCTACACAACCTGGGAAGATTTAATCACCTTTGACGTAAAATACCTTCTTTGGCCTTCATTTTCTCATGGGTGAGTAACCCACAAATCAGGACATACGTTCCCATACTATAGAGCAGGAAAGGAATGAATGAGGTCAAATACTCTTCTCCCCTATCACACAGAAAATGACCAACTGAGCACGTGAAAACAACTGGGCCATTGAAGACGACAAATTTTTTAACAGACATTGAAAACTTCTTGTTTTTCTTGTTTTCAATGTCTTAAAGGCAGAGACAAATGCATTTGGAAAAATAAATAAATTAAAAATAAAAAAAGAAAACTTCATTCTGAAAAGTCTTATCGACTAGATTGAGAGTATAAAATGATCATGAAGGAATTCAGCCATTCCATACAGAATGTAATTTCTAAGACACATACTTCCAAATATGAAGCAGAGATAAATCTTCTAGAGAGATTATCAAGGATCAAGTCCGACTGAAGAGACTTTACTTTTTCTTGTTGTTTTTAAATTAAGAATCACACTCCCTCCTCTGAGTGTTTCGCAGTATGCCTAAAGGATAGTTTGGGAAAATACCAACCTTTTTCTTTGAAATTCCAAGGTTCACACAATCCTGGCAGCTCTCAGGATCTTGTTGCGGATCTGAACAGAGTCACAAACTAAAAGAATAGGTCGGGAAATGTTAGATCTACCTGAGGCCGTGGTGGGAAGCCTGTCAACAGGGCGCTAAACTTCCTTTCACTTAGTCCCTGTACATTTGGTTACTTACTAAAATACTGAGAGAATTTTTTTTTTTAAATTCAAAAAACCATGGATTTGAAAAAGAAAGTAAATTTCTTCTCTGATCCATTTCTATGAGAAATAAATCTTCTCTCCTGCTAAAACACTAACATAAACGTCTTCTGACCTCAAATTTTGAAAAGAACCAAACCTTGCACTGAAAGAACTGATTATACGTAAAAATAAAGCTCCACAAAATTTTAAAAAGTATGAGCAAAATCTGTATCTAACCAAACTATATAACCACAAGACAAATGTTAAGTCAAGGCTGCCCAGCTATCTTACACCTATCTAGAAATGGAATGTTCTGAGGCTATAAATGGATGTATTTGTTATGAGTTGAACTGGAAAAAGCAGCTTTCTGATAAAGGGCTTCTCAATAGAAACTTGCAGAGAAAACAATCTCCTAGGTTCAAACAAATGCACCCAACAAAGTGAGGTGAAATTATTAAAATATTCACATACTTCTTGCTGGGCAGAGCATTAATAAGGCATTTTATTCAAAGTCTAACTCCCTTAAAAAGCAAGGACCTGTGAACCCCAGAGAGAGGCTGGCTGTAGAAGCAGTACATGCATATACCCTCGACAGAACCACAATGAAGGTGACGAGTGGAGGAAAAAAATTTTTTTTAAAAAAGAGGATTCCAAACCCCTGCTGTTTCCCCTGAACCCACCTGGAATACATCACAAATGTGTGCCAAGCAAAGACCCTAACAATCCATCTGGAACCTATGGAAGTGTTTAGAGATATCTGCGTGTTGCTGGAAGCCTTACAGAGCGTGGGGCTGGGCTGGCGCACGGACTTAATTCTCATTACACTGGCAGTCCAGGGTCTCTCGTGACAGACGACGGAGATCTGGGGCGGCCACTTCTCTGGTATAAATGTGCGTGGCCCAAGGCCTATTTTAATAATATAGGCATGGAGATTATGTGAGTTAATAAAAAAAAGTTCAAGGAGTATAAATTTCATTTTCAAATTAGTAGAATATGAAAATAGGTGAAGTTAAGTTGGTTCTAGGAACAGCCCTCTGAGGCTGAGTGGTGGGGTAAACAAGTTTAAAAAAACGATCCTATTGCTGTACACAATAAAAAAGAAAACCGTGAGAGGCCCCTGAACAACACATCCTGTAAAAACTGATGATACACCATGTGGAAGGACAGAGGGAGAAACAGAAGGTAACCTCACGTGACCATCTATGCCAATCCAGCTGCATGGTTTGCAAACTGACCCAAGGACTCATGAGTTGGCAGCGGCAAAGCCCAAGTCTCCTTGTTTAAATACAGTGCCCTTTGCACTGCATCAAGCTGATCTTGTGAGTGAAGAAAAAGCATCTGCCCTTTGGAGCTCCATTTATGCAGCCGCTTGGATACACAGGGTGGGGGAAGACTCCCCAGCTGACGTGTGCAGAACCGTGTTTATCTATAGAGGAACCTAACAAGCTGCTTAAGGGCTGAATTTCCACCCCGATTTCAAAGCTGCTCTGCTTCTGTCTGCTTGAGATATTAGGTCTCTAGATAAGAGTTCCTGTAGGGAAGAGGGTGGGAGATGCAATCTGTTGCTAAAAGAAATGGAAAACTGAGGTTTTACATTTTATTTGCTGATCTGATTAGTGAACGCTGTCTACAAAGGCCTTGAAGTCGGAGGCTACTGCCAACCTCACAGAGGCGCAGCCTGCAACCTCAGTGCTCCGGAAAAGCCACGTCCTTTTCTCAGTGCCCCCAAACTCAGCTTCTGCCCATGGTGTGTCTCTCTTTTTGAGCGCCTGGCACACAATAATTGACACTAGAAACTTCATCACAAAGTCTTCAAAAAGTAACCCCATTTTTTGACCCCAAATTTCTCCCTCACATTTCTCTAAATACCTGTTGCTGGTACATTATTAAGTATTTGCCAACTCCTGACTCATCCATCCTCTGGCTCGATTCTTTTCAAATAGGAAGTACCCCATAAGTATGTATAGAGCATTTTGTAAAGGATAGAATATAAAACCAATGCACACAGAAGGCAGTCTGGGAGACAACATTATTTTCCTTCATTCTGGGACTACTTTCAGGATCCTACACCCTTCTGTGACTCACTAGTTCTATTAAAACTTTAGGAAAAAATTTTAAAAAAAAGCATTGAGACAAGTAATACTGCCAAGTTCCAGTTATACCAAAGAATATTCTTTTTTCCACTGGTGCAATGACTTCAGTTGGTATACAAGGGCACATGTACTTGAACCATGACAGCCAATCCAGAATAATTACTCACTAACCCAATGCTTATTGATTAACACAACCACAGAAAAACGAGAATTAAACTGCTCCCCAGTCTCATGTTCTGCAATGGACAATTTTGGTTAAATCTTGCTGAAGAAATGTGTTTAAGGAATGACGCTGTCACGGAAGGTGACATTTTCAGGCACTGTCTCGATGAAAGAGTGGGGGTGTTCTCAGCATCTGTCACACTGTTAGTGGGAAAACACTCTGAAACCACACCGCCAAGGTGCCAGGGCAGGAAGTGAGGGGTGAACGGGCAGGCGCGGCTGCGACCGCTGGAGAGGCTATTCAGATTTTCACAGATGAGTGCGAGCATTTATATTCACCTGAGATTGCGAGCAGCATTTTCCTCCTGGCACCAAAAGTAGTAATCCCCAGCTCCTTCAGGTCCTGATCTGTGAGAGTGAGGAATGTCTGCAGATCGATCTGTGGGTGAAAAAGTAATCTGTAACGAATATAATAAATACTTATCTTCTTCCTCATTGTAGGTTCAATTCAACTGTTACACCTATTTTACATATTAATTATGTTCTGCCTACTTCCCAAAAAGAACAGTGGTGTCACAAACCTAAGGGACAAGAGTTAAGTAATTAAGGTGATGAAAGAAAAATGTCCTAGCTGAAGACTGCGTCTAAGCCAGTGATTTACTGCAACTTGAGATAAAAACTTGGGTCTGAGCATCCTGGCAGCCAAGACAAGAAAGGGAAATAGAAACTGCACGTTCTTTGTGAACTGATAAAGGAAGAACACGTATCTATCCTGGAGAGAGAAAATATTTCTTAGTTTTAATTCTGAATTGGTCGAGTATATCTCTATAAAAAGAAACTGAATGATAAATACCAGAGATTGCTTCCACTGTGCCCTACACATCAGAATGACAGAATAGCTCCCAGACCACACCAGATCCATGACTCACTTGGCTGCGCCTGGAAGACTATCTGAAAGTGGCACACTTGCGTGTTTCCAGGAACAGAGTAATTGTACTCTCTGGCACCAGAATGCAAAGCGGGGAGGGAAGCAGCCCAAGGATCCCACCCCTGCCTTTGAAGACAGTGAGGAAGAACAGCAAGGTGATGGGCTCCGAGGCTAGAGACACGGGCTCTGGTTCTGACTCTGACGGTACTTCTGTGTCTACACAGGGTGACAACAGGGTATCTTGCAGGGCTGCTGTAGGCATTAAACGACTGTAGCTATAAAGCGACAGGCTCACCCAGAGCGTAAAATAATGAGCAGCAATGGTTAATAATAATGTGTGTGGACATATCTGGGAAAGTTGCTAAATAAATCTTCAACCTGTTTAAAATAAATCTCATGAGGTTACGTAATGGGGGATTCTTATTAAGTCACATCTGAATGTTAGAAATTACCCTAAATGAAGAAAGCAGTACCAAATTCCAACACACCCAAAAAGAGTAAAATATACTTTTTATTCAATTATAAGAACTTATTCTGAAATTTTGTTTTGATTTAGAAGTTACATCCAGATCTTGCAAAACCTTTTTATCATATACCATAGTTATCATTTATCATAGGTTTAAAGCTATGTTTTTAGTAATTCTATTTAACGGAGACTCTATTTCAGGAATCCCCAAACTCTTCTTAAAGGGCCAGACAGTAAATATTTTAGGCTTTGTGAGCCATATCATCCCTGTTGCTGCTTACTCAATGCTGCTGCTTTTAGCTCAAAAGCAACCATGGACAATGTGCAAATGAGTAAGTGAAGCTGAGTTCCATTGCAATTCTGTCTACAAAATCAAGTGGAAGGTCTGCATGCTGCAGTCCGCTGACCACTGCTCTAGTTAAGTTAACACTAGATAAAGCCACCCTGGTTTTGCATTATATTTTCTTCCTTTTGGAAATAATTGCATTAGAAGTACCTATAATGAATTTATTTCTATGCTTCTTCAAATAGGAAATAAATAAACAGAGCCAGAATATTACTGACAAATATCTGACCACTTATATGGAGACGTTCTATTTTTGGACAAGTTAAAAATACTTCTGTCCTTGAACTTCTCAATGAGCCACCCTCATCTAACCAGCAAAACTAAGTAAAAGGCTAAGTACTACAATTCCTTGATGCACTGAAGATGAAAATGTTATTCAATTTACAAAGTCCTTAGTTAAATGAACACCAATTTGGATGTAGGGAGAAGAAAACTAAATTAATACCCTAAAATCCAATATACACATCTTTTTTTGATATTAAAAAAAGCAAAAAAGTTCAGCAATCAAACTTAAGTTATTAAGCCATGGGCAATACCTTAAGTTTACGATATGTAGTACCTAGTAAAAATTCTAGATTCTTCATTGACTGATACACAGCTTAATTAGATATTCTCTAAGATAAAATAAAGCCCACCAGTATCAAACCTGGATCAAACAGATGTATTTGTAGAGCTATTCTAACTTTCTGTTGCACTGGGTTGGCCTGCCCTGGTAAAATGACAACATTTTTAGAAGCAACCATGCTCCTTCCTTTATGCCAGCATGTAATGGCCACGGCTGATACGTTAGACCGAAATCCACAACAGGAATTGTTGCGGGCAGTTAGACCGTCATGGGCAGAGCGAGGACAACAGGCCAGGTGCAGAGGGTCACCAGGGCGGAAAGCCCAGGGTGGCGAGCAAGGGGAAGCAAAACTGGGAAGCAAGGACCTGGCACCCAGGGTAACTCAATCTTCAACCTGTTTAAAATAAATAACCCTTCCTCCCCTAGCGTGTCATGGTCATGCGGTTTGGAACCCCTGACCGTTCCTCCCTAGAGATAACACCTAGGCCTCAGTTATATTTCAATTCCAGGCCCAGAAAAGCAGCAAAACCAGAGAGGTGACCCCATGGCTGCCTCAGGACCAGCTGCATTGACTAATGACCTCTACCCTGGCACTCGCCAATCAGCAGAGACCACAACCCTGAAGGAGCGCACCCGGAAAGCTGATGAGTATTCTGCTGAAACCCTCCCCTGAAACCTCCCCTGAGAGTCCCACCTGCAAGGGAGAGAGAAAAACCAAAGGACAAAGGACCCAGCTTGGGCTCTCCCTCAGGGGAGCACGCCCAAGCCTTTCCCCCCTCCTCTTCTTCCCCCATAGGCGTGCATCTCCTAACCTCTAAAGGACCCCATGGGACTTGCAACCAGGGGGCCAGCGGCCAGCGGCAGCTCGTCCCAGGCTGACACCCTGACCCCGTCCCTGAGGCCCCCTTTCTCTGACTTCCCAGTGAGCTAAAGCAGGCCAGCCTGGGCTCTCCTGGTGCTGCTTCTGTGCTGAGCCCCTCCTTGTTTCACCGTCCCGAGTGTGCCTTAGCTGTGGCCAATAAATTCTTGCTTTACTGCACTTTGTCTCTTGACTGCAATCTTTCCCTCAAGAAGACAAGGACCAAGGTCTCGTCGTCTCCCCAGTAACAATGGTTCAGAGCCATCTTAGCTCTGTCTCAGTGGAGGCAAAACCCAAACAGTAAGTTAATTAATAAGTTAGCATGTGTAAAGAGTACACTATGTTCTGTGAGAATAGACTTCTGTAACAAAACTAGGCTGGGGTCAAAATTACCACACATTTATTTTCCGATACTATTACTTTTACATTCAAACGTCAGTCACATGACTAAGATGGGATCAAAAACAACCACCCGCTTATTTCAGACACTGCTATTTACTTTTAAGTGCTATACAGATAACAGTGAAATCATATTACATGCAGACTTGCTGCTGACCTTAATAGAGATATAAATCAGAAGTTCCTATGAATAGGTCTTTTAGCTAAAACTGGTGAAGGTGTGTTTTTTATGAACACCATTTTCTGTATTTCTGCTATCCTATGTGTACTAGTTGCACTAAATAAATAAGAAATGAGATCACGTTTTTCCTAGCAGGAAAAACAAGCTATGAGACTTGAATAAATGCTCAGTGAAAGCACAGTCATAGGTCAATGAGTGATTTCATTCTAGAAGTCGTCATACACACAACCCAAACAAAGATGCCTGGGAAAAGTAAATAAATAGTGACTGACCTCTTGTTGTTGGAAGACGTCTGTGTATTTGCCCAGACCCAGTTTGCTGAAGAGCTCAGGAAGGTCGGAGCCTTTGAAAGAGCTGTTGAGGTTACAGCCATTGCTTCCTGTCAGCGAGGAAATGCAGTCCATGTAATTGCTACTGCTGAGATAGTGTTCCGCTGGAGGGCAAACGAGAGACAGGCTTGAAGTGCAAATGCCCACAGAGAACAAGGTTTAATTAAAAGTTTTAATCACTCAAATATTTCAACTTCATTGTTGGGGTGAACAGAACAGTAGCTGCAGAAATAGAGCAATCCTTTACTGAATGAAGCACTGGCTTTTCATTAAGGAAATGCTGGTTAGTGCCTTCAGAGTGACTCTTGCCATTTAAAAGGTTATACCTGGGAGGCAGCAATTTAGCAACAGTGCTGCTGCAGTTAATAATCATTAATCATTTTCACCTGGAGCATTCAGAAACATTTGCTCTTTGTAATTGATTGCATGTGAATTAAAAGGAATTGGGAAAAGGGTCCTTCAGAAACAATAAAGGTATGGAAAGTCACGGTAAGTCCAGGCTCTGGTGGGACAGCAGAATGGCTCTCTATCTCCACACCTGTGCTCACCTGTGGTCAAAGGAATTCTATGATAATGCACCACATAAATCTCCTTCCCTACAAAAATATCATTGGGCCGTACACTCACAAAATAAGAGTGCCTCCAAAACTGAGTGTCATGAAGTGAGAAAAGAACGATGCTGGAGTTCCCAGATTTAATTTACAACAGAAATAAATCTGTCTCTTGAGAAAAATTCTGAGACAGCAATGCTGAGCTTTGCTCTGGCTCTGCAACTGCCCTGATGGGCAGAGATTTCTCCACATTGTTTATGATTCTCAGGCGCAGTTACATGCACAGCTGGGTGATGGACGAGGGAGCCATGCCAAGCACTTGACCAAATATTTAAACACTCTTAAGGACCTGCTGTGGAGGTTCTGGCAGAGCTGTGCAGCCAGTGCTCCGTCCCCGACCAACAACTGGCTCTTGTCCACGTGAGAATCTGGCCCTCTTACATCAAAGCTGCAGCTTCCCAAGGGATTCCCAGGGAGAGGATGAGGAGGGAAAGAGGACGCTCACCTAGCCAATCAGGCCCCCCCAGTCTCCTCTGGCATGCGTGCAGTCACCAAGTCTAAGCATGGCATTCTGCATTGTTTTAGGTGCCACTATTTACTTTCTTCAGTTGTTTCCATCTCCCAATTGAGAAATTCTTTATATACCTCAAGTGGAAGGAATTTCTTGATACGGGTTCTCTCTCTCTCTCTCTCAAAAATAGATGTTTCATCTCTTGTGGAGAGAATGTGTAAGAGAAAGATTCCAGGACCAAGCTCTGAAGGTCTTCAGCCCTGGACCATTCCACCATTTGAAGGTAAAGCCCCAATGTCATTTTTAAAAAAAAGATTGAGAAAGAGTGACCAGTGAGGTTCTGGGTCAAGGGTGAGGCAAAGCAGAGTATGATGAGCACATGGGAAGGACCACAGGGCTTGACGGCACAGCAGGCTGACCATGGACTTCACTGTCTAAATGATAAATTTATTTTTTTGAGAGTGAAAGGGGGAGTTACTGAGAATTAACACTGGGACAACTGGTGTAAACAGGAATGTGTGAGAACACCCAGACATCGGTAACACTGACAAGGGTGTCAAAAAATTATTTAAAATTGTGCTGTTTAATATAACAACCATTGGCTATTAGCCAATGTGACTATTAGCAATTAAAATGTTCTATAAGTGAAATAACACTGGATTTTAAAGACTCAGTACAAAAAAAGAATGTAAAATATTGCATTAAAATGTCTTTACATAGGTAACATGATTAAATACTATTTTGCATATAGTGGGTTAAACAAGTACATTAATAAAATTTCAAAAAACAAATATGCTAAAATAAAGTATCCTTAGTGATGTCTATTACAGTATATAACTTTCTTTACACTTCATTTCAATTACTTATAGATTCTGTATTCATTCTGTATTCTCTTTTAAACCCCCTACTTTCTTAAAATATCTAACAAAAGCAAGATAACTGTGATTCTTTAATGATTCCTTTTTATTAGTGAATCCCTGTATTTTAACCCTAATCCTAAACTTCAGTGCAGCTAAGTTTAGTCAACTTTAATTATCAGGCATTAAGTGAAGGGAATGGAGATAAAGATAGAAAAGAAGAGGCACAAAACTAATTTGTACTGGGCTACAGAACGGAGACCATTCTCACCCCTCGGCCGGCACCCGCCACCAGCCGGCCTCTCAGTCCCGTCCCTCTGTGAGGGATGGAGGGCCCAGCGCGAGCTGGTAGGAAGCACCCACGCCATCACAGACAGCACACTTGGGCAGGGGAGAGTGGACGTGCTTTCTTATTAAACTTGGCGGACACCGACCACACTGGTCTTTTCAAATGAGACTGTTGATGCAGGGCCAACTTAATCGACAGTAACAACTGACTTGCTGAGTGTCTACTATGCTCTTTTAGATTGCTTTTCTTTACCTAGTCTTCAAATACGCCAAGCTACGTATTTCAGGATTCCAAATTTTCCCAAAACCCTAAAGAAAGGCATCTATTGTGATTACTATTGTTGATTCTTGTCTGTTTACCTTTTTATACAGCCCAAAAGTGTGGGTTCTGTTATAGGCAAAACCACTCAACTCATGCTGAGTTTTAACAATGTATGTTTAAAGCTGGAACCCTTGGGCTTCACACTTTTTTCTTCTATTTATGTCAATTCAGTTACATCTTGTCAATTAAAATATCAAATGCTGCTTTTCACCTTAAGTCACTACCCACTGAGTAGACTTTCTTCTATTGCTCAAGATGCAAATCTGATCACATTCTTCTCAATATCCTTATGCCCCTGTCTTTTCCTGATGAGAAAAAGCATTTTCTGAATGTTTGTGTGTGCATGACTCATTCATATATTCACTCAAGAAGCATTTAAAACTGAGTACCTACTAGGTGTCAAACACTGGTATATATCTGGGAAGAAATAACAAATAAGGTACAGCCTAAGAGAATGTCCAGTATCTAGGCACTTAATAAGTGTTTACTGAATGAACAAATATAGTCCCTGGGCATGAAACTCAAGTTCTACAGGAAGAGACAATAACGTAAACCCGTAATTACACTTCAGCATGACAAGTGCTAGAGTAGGAGCACATACAGAATGCTGTGAAACAGAAAACTACTTGGTCTGCTCCACTGGGGAAAACAAGGGAGGCTTCACAGAGGAGGTGGCAGATGAGTTACGACAGATACTTGAAGACATGGAGTCTAGACTTTATACTTTAACATCATCCTCAACCAAATAAACTTCAAGCTGATTACATCTAAAAGTATGATTAAAAGTCAAAGCTCACTTGATTTGTTTTGTTTGCGCTTGGGGCTGCCAATAGAAGCCGCAAATTCACTGTGACCTGTGGATCCTATTCCATTTCGGTCTCTCCAGTTGTCAGATTCACTTCCACTTCCCAAGTGCTCACGACTGTTGGATCTCGAGAGGGACATTGATGAGCCCTGTAAACAAAGAAAGCCAAACAAGGAAATGTTTAAAAAGGTGGGTTTCCTGAGGTGGGAGGGGAAAAGAACCCTCAGTAGACCCCCACCATTTACTTCCATGGCTAACCACTGCAGTGAGCCGCGAGCGATGATTCTTGGGAAGAAGGCTGTGGTACCTATCTACGTCCTTGTATGCCAGCCACCAAGGACTCGGCAATATGCACAGTGAATTTTTTGTTCATCATGAGGGTGCCCAGCAGGGTTCTGAGAGTCCTCAGTATAGACTTACTCCTGTTAAGAACCTGTGAGAGTGTCTCTGCCTTGTATCACAGAGAAGGGCAAATAACGGAGGAATAGGCAGGCCCGATGCTTTGACAAGAGTCCTGCTCCCAGGCTAGTCATCAGACGCTGGGGAGAGATCTGGCATTTCTCCTGCATTGGCCTCATCTAAATAGGATCTCTCCCACAAATTACAAATACCTGGAAAAATCGACCTTATTTAACTCCAAGTCAAAATAAAAATAATCATTTAAAAGATCTCAAAGGCTGCACTGAACTTCCATTTATTCATTTTTTAAATTTATTTAATCACCATATTACAGACATCTTACTTTGCACTGTATCTAGAGTATTAAAGTCAAGATTCTCTGATTTTCAGAGTTCTATGTTCACTAAGGGATCCCAAGAGAATCCTTCACTATTCATCTCAATAATCTCGCTTAATTCAGTCTCCTAGCAGCCTCACCACAGCTGACCATGGCTTCCTTTAACACCTCCTGTTTCAAGGCATCACGACACCACCCTCCCCAGCTCTCCTGCTGACCTCACTGTAGCCTTGTAGGACCTCCCTCCCCGCTTCTACTCCAGGTGTCCTAGCACCCTGGGGCTCGATCCCAGCCGTGTGTTCTCTCTCTCCTCCCACTCCCGCCCTTCTCCCTCCCCCCACTTTCTTATTAAGAAATCTCTACCTCTTCCAATAAAATCCATGACTCCCCAATTTTTACCTCCAAATTTGACCTTACTTTCAAATTGAGAACATGGAGTGGCCAATCTGACCCCTCTGTGTTTCTGCCTCACAGGCATTTTCAATGTGTAGTGTTTGAAATTGAATTGTTACAGACCTGTCCCCACCAGCGACACCCAAACTGACTCCTCTCAGAATTCCTACATCTCGGTAAGTGACTCTACCCTTCACCCAGCCGATCAAGGCGTCCTCACCCCTCCTTCCCTCACCACATCCAATCCATCTGCAGGCTCTAGCAGTGCCATCTCTAAATATACGCCACATCTACCTGCTTCTCTCCATCTCCACAACTGTTACCAGCAGGCTCCTAATGAACATTCCAATTCTATTCTTTCCTCCTACCTCAATAACCCATTTTCCATAAAGCGAGTAGGTTGATTTTTTAATGCAAATTAGAACTAATCACACCTCTGAACGAAGTCTTGTCCCGCTTCTCCGGCACCTTCCGACGGGCTGAGGCGCTCCCTGACTGAGCCTCTGCCTAGCTCTGCAACCTGCCTTCGACGCTCCACCACCCCATCCACCTGGGCCCCAGGAACTTAGGACCGGCTCTGACTTCAGGATGAGCCCGCCAGCAGCTCCCTGGCCTGACACTCTTTCCCTAGATCTTAAGAAGTCTGGCCCTTTCTTGTCATCTAGGTCTTAGCTTGAATGTCATCTCATTAAGACCCGCTATCACAACCCAATCTAAAGCAGCCTATTTCATATCTATCAGGGGATTTTATTAACTAATGTCTTTCTATTTACTTGTTCTCTATCACTCTCTACACATCAAAAAGTTAGTTCTGTTGGTGAAAGCAAGAGCCTGGATTCAAGCATTGTGTCTTTAATGCCTAGGATGGTGTCTGGAACATAGATGTTGCTTAATAAATACCTGTGGAATTACAGAATCTCATAGGTGCATCTTCCTACATCTATAGAATGTTATTGGCTGACTTTTGGAAAGGGGTTTAGGGAAAGATGGCTCCTGGGACCACAAAAAACCCGCCAAAAAAAAAAAAAAACAAAAAAATCCCAGCTTTTCAATTAAAACCATCTTTAACATTCTACTTCAACCAGAAAAATCCAATGCAGCAAGGGAAACAGCAACACGCTCAACACTCGTAACTACAAGAGGCATTAATGAGATCATTACATATTAGTTGTGTATACTTTAAAAATTCTGCATCTAAACTCTTCTGAGTATTAAAAAACCATTCATTTAAGATCTAAGCTAACTTCCTTCACACACTATGTCAGACATGGCTAAACACAGTGATTTGTAAAAACATTAAGTAAAATATACTCTTGTGATAGCTACTAGTTTTTTATCTACTAATTAATCTAAAGCTCACCTACACTCTTAGATTTATAAGACTTAAAGTAATTGGACAACCTCATTACTCTTAGTGCTGAGAAATTAAAAACAATCTTTGACCCCCAATGCAGGTTTTTATTTGCTTCAGAGAATATGAGCATTATTTATGCTTTTGAGTGGCAAAGAGAAAAGGAAAATCCCAGGCCTTTTATAGCTCTGTTGATGTGACATCTATTGCAGGTCCAAGCAGCCTTTTGCTTGACCTTTGGTGTCACAGTATATCTAGCAGATAAGGTCGTATTTTTGAGCCTTGAAGAAAACAAACAAAGAAGCCTCAAGCTCTTTTTGGAACAGGCTAATTTCGCAAAGTGGCCCTAAAACTGGAAACAATCGCTCAGGTCTAGCTTCTCGGTGACCTGAAGGAAGAGCTCAAAGCATCGACTTCTTGCCTCAAGCAATTCTCCCAGGACAGGGAGCTCCGAGTGCCTGGTCCCTGGCCACCAGTGAGGGAGCACCACACCCATCAGGGCCCGCGGGCTGAACACGCTTCCTCTACTGATTCCCTTTGGTTCTGTTTTCTTTGAAGGAGGAGGAGGAAAAACAGTGTTTCTAGCCACTCTCTAATTTTAAAATATTAGTGCTATAAGCAGAGACATGGTCAACTGTTTAGTAAAAATCAGCTTCCATTTTCCCTTCGTCCTTCTCCATCCCACCTCGTCCCCATGTCTTAACCAAACAAGCAATCCTCACTCACCGCCCAGTTGTTGACCTCTCTGAGCTATAGCAGAATAGAGAGAGCAACTGCTGAAGAGTATCAGATTGTGTTATGTGAGGCCTGTGGGGCCCCGGTACCCCCTTTCAGTGGATTTGCAATGTGTGAGTAAAAGTTCAAGCCCTGCACCCCAGGGAGAATTTGAACACTTGAAAGCCCAAAGAAAGCTTGATTTTGTCTTTTCATCTGTAGGATTTAAAGGGGCCACAAATAAATGCAGGTTACGTGGTGAACACTGAGCTAGCTGGCCACCCCCTCCCCCAACTTTTCAGTAGGACTGGGCCACTAGAAGACAGACAGGAAGGTGCAACAAAGATGGACAAAGCAAGGGAAGCCACAGGAGGGGGTTCAGCCACTGAGTCAGGCCCCTGCCACACAAAGTGGTCCTCCCATCCTTGGGAAAGTGCCAGAGCAGAAAAGTCGGTTCTGACATCATCATTTGCACATCGTTCCCTTTGTTTATGTACCAGTGGAGCAGGGTAGAGAGGGGTGCCGATTCGACTCAGAATCATAGGAGGCTTTTGCTTAAAATGTAGATTCCTGGTTCCCACCCCCTGCCTGATGAGTGAGATCCTGGGGCAAGAATCTGCATTTTTAGCAAATTCTCCAAGGGACTCTTTTGTCTGCTAAGGTATGGCAACATGGCTCTAATCATTTACATATCACCTTTGCTATGTACCCTCTTGGGTTAAAGCATTAGAATAAGCAGTATATGGAAATCTTGTAAAATGAATTCAAGTCCTTCCTTTGACACCTACTGCCATGACCTCAAGTGAGACACTTCACTCACTGAACTGTTCTGCCCACCCTGCCCCCGCTGGAGTTTGCAAGACCTGAATAAGCTTGGATGAAAATGCACCCTATAAACCATGAAGAAATAAATGAATGTGATTTAAGATAATTATCACTAGTGCATTATGTGTTCATGTAATACTCTGAAGTATTCCTTTGGCTATAAAAAGCATATCTAGTTCAAATGTGCAGAAATACTTCCAGCAATAAGCATTCATATACATAATCCCATCTTTCACCAGGCTCTTGGTTTTCTCCAGGGTAAAGTTATCCAGCAGAAATAACAGGAACTGCTCAGTTTCACTCAGAACTTACCATCCACCATGCTGCACACTGGATGCCCTCTCCCATGTCATCCTCGAAACAAACTCAATGAGAAAACAGGCTCAAAGGAGTGAAGCCACAGCCCGCGTGGCCGTCCGACCCTGCAGCCCCTGCCCTTGATCACTGCATTATCAGAATGATCATCAAACTGTCTTACTGCTGTGTCTCTGAGAACAGAACTGGATTAGCATTTCTCCAGCGAAATATTTAATCTCTGCAAGTATAGCAACACTATCAACCACTGAACACGCCACCCTACCAAAACAAAGGTGAGCGAAAAAGACGAGACTGTGGGGGTCTCGGCTGAAAGAATTACCACAGCACCTCTGCCACGAGAGCTCTAGTGGCAGAAAAAGGGGTGTGCCTCCTAGAGCCGCAAAACATTTCATAATGGCGCCCACATCCTAGCTGTTGGCAGTAGCTTTGGTCTTTGAATGCAGCCTGCCAGGTTGCTACTGGAAGTCTGACAATGGAATTCACAGAAGACCATTCTTTTTCACTTACTCAAAGAGACAAAGAAAAAAATGCACGTTTGCTTTTACCCTTCATCAACAGTCTAATTTATGACAAAGAAAATAGGTAGAGAAGACAAGGTCAACCTACCAACGCTCATTATTAGACTAACAATTACAGAACCCTTCGTTAGTGTTTGCTTCGCCGCCTGCAGTGCTCCGGTTGAACACTGTGGCTCTTGGAGCAATCATGTCCATCCGTGCTTGGGTTTGCGTAGTGTTCCCAGTGCCGTGTGCGGCGTGAGTGTGCTCTCTCGTACGCCACCCCCACTCCCAAAAGGCTGCCAGCCACAGTCTGATGCTCTGCAACCGAGGAGGCCTAGCTGACTGAGCCACGTGCAGCATGGCTGGCTGGGAGGCAGGAACTCTGGGTCCCTCCTCCACGTGGCGCGGATGCCAGCTTCCCAGTGTCACTCTGAGCAGGGCAGCCAACATCTGGGAAACGAAGTTTTCGAGCTCTTGTTTGTGATACTTCCTGCTGTGTTCCTGGCATATCTGAACACACTGGATTTTTAACCCATATCTGAAAACTTGTTTTTATTGAATACTTGCCTTTTCCCCCTATGGTGGACTTGCTAGTGATACCCTTGGATAAAGGGACTCTATATAGTTTATGGAATATCATTACATCTGTCCTTTGCTTCGTCTCAGCCTTGCTCTAGCATTTATGACACGCCTCCTAACAAAAACACATTTATCTAAATGTAACAGCTGATCAACAACTCTGAGAGAAGATACAAAAAAGAGCACACTGTATTAGAGTGCATCAATTTTATGCAATACGTATATAAGAAAAGAAATTAAATCCCCATTAACGACTTTTCCTTAAGTAAATAAAGAATGGAAGGGGAGAGACGACTGTTCTTGTCCGCTGGGAGACCAGAAAGGAAGAACACATGGGGAGGACTCCACAAACCTCGAAAGTGGTTGTCATTGTGGGCTTGTAGGACACGTGGTTGGCCCTTCTCAGCTCCTTGATGGTTTCCGCGGGCATGGATTTAGAAAAGCCAAGGCCACTCCAGGTATTTGTAGGTGTTCTGACCTCCGTCACCACTGGCTTCTTTAACATAGCTTTGGAAGACAGAATATAAAACAAATGCTTGACATTTTTAATATAGTTCTTAAAAATATTGATGAGTGTTGTTCCTTTGATATATGCAAATATATGTAAAGAAAACATAACTGAAAATTATTTCTTAACCCAAAATGCCTTAAATTATCTTCATAAAACATTTCCTACAAAGTAATGGTAAATTTTAAAATGTTACATTATCTCATAATTGACCTACTGTTAAGCTAGTCAATAAAATACATTCAGTCTCAACAAAATTTGTGCAACTTTAAACCTGAACATTTTTTTAAATGAAGGTCCAATTTCACAATTCAATGTGAATACTGGAAAACCTTTTAAGCATCTACAGAAAAAAAAAAAGTATAGATCATTAACATATCACATACCTTTGGTTGCTAACAGCTTCTTTTGTTCATAGTCAAATGCCTAAAAATAAAACAGATTTATTGCCAGTTTATCTAATGCCATGCCAGTACCCTATTATCAGAAAACAGAGGTTTTGACAACAGCCCGATCTGCCTGGGCTGCCTGCGACACAAGCTAAGTTTTGCACCATAATGTGCCATTAACTCAATGCAAGTCTGGTAAGTTTAAACATGTTTTCAAAACTGGTTAATTAGAATAGTAAATCACTACTTCTGACTTTAAGTTCTGACAGTGACAAGAGTTAGAAATCTTCCTTCGACAGGAAAAAATTCCCATTTACTACAAATGTTTAAAACATTAGGACAGGTATATCCTAAAGTATAGTGAATAACTTAATAATAATTATGCCCAGTTTCAAAATACTGCATTACAAAAATGCTTTCAGTTACCTACTGGCCTCATTTGTTTCTCAGAATCCCCCGTTCAATACATGGCCTGAGGTGGTGTAATGCCCAGACACTTAAGAAATCAGCTTAATTGAAATAGTCTTTGCTTTTGAAATGAGATAAATGGCAAATCTCTAGGTTTAAGCTACAATAACATTAAGCGTGACAGTACAAGTAAACCTAGCTACCTTTTATTGCAGGGGGGTGGGGCGGCACTATCCATTCTTTTCATTCACAGTGAATAAGTGACGTATGACACAGTCAGGTCTACACAGAAACCAAGGCAGGTCATGTTGAAGAAAGTAGTCTGGATAGAGCTACATCTCGAATGCTAACCCAGTGTTCTCAACTGTTCTCAACAGTGTAGGGACGAGCTAAGACTCGATTTAACAAAGTCTTAAAGGCCCATTTGGAGGGCTGAGAACCAACTGGCAAGACCTCTTCTGACCCTCTTCCTGGGACGGCTGTATAACCACATGCAGCGTGTGTGCTCTGGTAACGTACAGTCTGAAATGGCCTCCTCCTTAGAGAGAATGTGCCAGAAATAATAATTAGGTCAGGATAATGCAAGTAAATGGGCTGGCCCAGACAAACCATTAACTCGAAGAACATGGCAGTAGATTGGGAGAGGCAGGTTTTTAGAGAACACAATTGGATGATGTTTTTGAAATCTTAGGTCTAAAATGGCACTGGAAATTACAGTCGACTTTTAATGATTAATGTCTAAGAGCAAGGTGTGGGAAGATCCTAAGTTCAGTTGTTCAATAAATATTTATGGAGTGCCTCTGACCGAAGAGACTGTACTGCACTTTGTGGAAAAATACAGTAATTAATCAAAAATAACATACAGCCTTAAAGCATGTAGAGTCAGCGGGGATGGGTAAAAGGAATAACTACAAAATAAATGAGGAAGTGAGATAAGTGTGGAAAGAGAACTGGAGACACGGCATTCCAAGAACATGAGGAGAAAAGACGTGATTTTTAGCGGATGGATCCGGAAAGTCTTCAGTCAATGCTGACTATTATCATTGATTTCTTAGTGATTTAAAAGTCAGCTGGCATAAAGTACATCTATTTAAGGTGAAACTATCACCAGGAACATTTATAAAAGAAAGAAACATGAAAATGGTTCACTCTAGGTATAAAACTGATGGAAAAGATAAGAACCACAAGATGGATGAAAACCATACATGGATCATAAAGCGGATTGGATACTTCTTAGATGAAAGAATTTTAATCTATATTAACTGAAAATGAATCCACCAGAGAAAATGTAACAAATTATCTTTTTTTTTTTTAAACTTTGACACTTTATAAAGGCTTTTGTAAAAACAATCATCTAAAACTCATGGCAATGTTCAAATGCAAGGGATTAAAGAACAGATAAGCTGGAATTACAGAAGTATAATTTAGTTCCATGAATTAATTTCTTTGACATATCTGTGACAGCTTTGTTTCTAGGATTTTCTGAAACATTCTTCCCTTCTTTTGGAGGTGGGGGGAAGTAGATGATAAATCTCTTTCTATGAGGTAGGTAAGTCTACCCGGTAATTCTGATACTGAAATCAAATGTTTATAGATATCTCTAAAAGCACAGAGCACAAAATCCTTCTCTTTCCTATTGTAATCTATATGGAAATCAGATTTCTGAATTCCATGGTCAATAGCCTATTTTCAGTAATTAGCCTAATACTTGGAAAAGGGATATAGAAAAAAATAATTCCTGTTCAGGAAATTGTTTAAAATAATCATAAAAATCTGTGACCCAATATAATCATCAATACTATTTACTTTCCAAAAAACTAAAGCTTCCTATCAGCTATTTTTAAAACTGTCTAAATGACACCAAACAAATTTATCATCTCCATTTTATAGATAAAAGGATATTATATCTATTTATCCAAGGCTATGTCATGAGGCAGTAATACTTAGAAATAACAGCTCTGACATTTATCTAAAATTTTATAGAACAGATGAATAATGTCACTTATATAACAGTGACACAGACCATTTATGTCACTATATATTATAGTCACTATAATATAAATGATTATATTTTAAATCATTTAATCACTTAAGCTAAATGCTGCATTTCACTTTTAAAGTTTATAGCAAAATCAATTCCGAACTACTGCATATATATTTAAATTTAATTTTGACTAGAGTGCAGGAAGGAAACTTAATTTCTCTTCTACTGCTCTACACTCACTGAATTCGTGTTCCCTAACCCAAGCACACTACACTGGGACGACATTCCCATCTTTTGATCATTACCTGCATGTTGACATATGATGGCCGAGAGGCCAGGCGGGCCCGTTCGGAGTTTTGCTGCGCAGCTGCGGCCCTCTCGGCCGCACGCTCGCTCCCTGGAGCCTTCTTGTCAGTCAAAGGGCTGTCCGCGGCGCTCAGTTCTGGATCTGAGAGCAGCCTGTCGGTGCTGCTGCGAAACAGAGTTTGGAATTTAACACTCCAGTGTTATATACAGAGGAACCGAATGCTTCCCATGTGCCACATTTACTCTGTATGTTAACCACTGTCAACTGTTCACACGCATTATCTCATTTAATCCTCACAACACTGCTATGAGGTAGGTGGTATTACGGTCCCCATATTTCAGAGGAAGGAAGTACCTCATCCAAGGTCATCATCTAGTAAATGGTATTTGAACCTGGGCATTCTGACTCTAAGGGCCATAGATGGAACTATTTCATGACATGTATTCATACACATTATATACAGTATAATATAAATGATACATATGGGATAGATATACAGACGAGATTTCTAAATTTGTATACATCAAGAAGCCATCAATGGTCTATGCATACACGGTCTAAACAAGACTAGCTGATCTGAAAGCATGCACCTGATCCAATTCATGTGTGTAAAATGTGCATGAGCCAATTCATGCGTGTGAAATCTGCTATAACAGAGGTGGCAGAGAAATAGGAAATATTCTCCAACACCTGTTCAGGGTATATGAGAAGAGCATGAAAGTGCTCCTTCCTTTTAAAAATAAGTTTATTTATTGACTTGAAAGAGTATGAGAGTGTGAGAGTGAGAGAGTGAGAGCGAGAGAGACCAGCGCATTGTTCCGCTGATTTATGCATTCGCTGGTTGGTTCCTGTGTGTGCCCTGACTGGGGATCAAACCCACAGCCACAGCATATTAGGGTGATGCTCTAACCAACTAAGCTACTCGGCCAGAGCCAAGGGTGCTTCTTAAAATGGGGACCAATCATCTGAATTACAAGAACTGATAATACCCTATACATGCACTTCAAGTTCAAATCCAGCTGCATGTTAAGCTCAAGTACAGAAGAAATAAGAAACAGTATTGGTCAAAGAGCCAATTTATTCATTCATTCTTTTATCATTCACTAAGTTGAGAAACTGAAGGAATTTAGGAAGGGCTATTGGAAACAAAAGGAAGAACAATGAACTTTGCTTGGCAAGAGTTCACGGAAGTTTCACTGCAGACATTTAAACTGGAATTTAAAGCGCATGTGCAGGTTCACCAGTGCAAAAGGCAACCAGCAACCAGGAGGGAACAGCATAAGCAAAGGGGAGGAGGCACACAGTGTGGACCACCGGTGGTTTACAGCCAGAGTATGCCAAGGTCAGACTCATGTGTTCCAAATAACTACTGGGACCAAATAAAGGACTGACTGAGCTGATGAGGGGCTGGAGGCAGGGAGGCCATTCTGGAGGGTGCAGTCTCATTAAGGTGAGAAACGATGTGCATCCACACTACACTCGATGAAAGGAATACCTGTATATTTCAAATGGTTCAATATAGAGAAAAGCAAAATCATTTATCTAACCTATAGTAAATAATGCTAATTTTGGGTATTAGTATCATGTATAGAAAAACACAGACAAAGTAGATTTGGACAAAATGGTAAAAACAGTAACTAATGATCAATGAGTTCACAAAGGCAAGTCAGATTTTGGTAAGAAAAAGATGAAATAAGAATATATATGCTGCATTTGTCTACAGACATTCTACTCTGTAAGGACATACAATTCATTCCCTTGAACAGCATGGGTTTGAACTACATGGGTTCACTTACATGCATATTTTTTTCAATAAATATACAGGCAGCCTGCCATCTCCCTGGGTTTCATATCCACAGATTCAACCAACTACAAACTGAAAACAGTATTTTCAATCCATGGCTGGGAATCTGCAGATGCAGAGGGCCAACTGTATGCACTGTTCTATGGCATTTAATATAAGGGACTTGAGTGCTTGTGGGTTCAAGTATTCACAGGGGTCCTGGAATCAACCCCCCATAAATACCAAGGGACAACTACAGTTAACTTTTGGGGAAGTCAAAGTTAGATGCAGAGTTTTGACTGTGCAGGGGGGCAGTGCCCCTAACCCTGCATTGTTCAAGGATCAACTGTATAAAAAAATTAAGACAATAGAGAAAACTGCTGAAATGGAGGTGGATGGTAGCAAAGCCTTTCAATACAGAAGCATTCCACTGTTTCTCTTTTAAAACACATGGGCTACCTATTTGAAACAAACAAAAAAAAAGAAGTGAAAAAGAAGAGAGAGTAAGGAAAACACATTTGTAACTATCCTATGGCACAGGAGAGTTATATTTAATACAATATAGGTATTTCTGTTTACTGCTTTGTAATAAATGAAATCATGACACTGTCAAGTATTTATTACCAAAGTTAGCAGTTAACTACCTTGGAACAAGGGAGCCATTGTTTAAGTTAGAAATTCAAAGGCAAATGAAGAAGAATTCACAGCAGGAAAATACCTAACAGCAAAATGGAAGAGTAAAAATTGCCCTGCTGATTACTGAGGAGCAGAGAGAATGCTAAAAGTTTCAAAGCAATATAGATAGTTCAGAGGACCCAGAGATAAACCCAAGGTTTATGAAGAAGGGAAGGACTCTAGATAAAATATAAGGGTAAAAAATACCCTATTATTATTCTTTAATAAAATTTTTACTCACAAAAACATCACTAAGATTGAATTGGACTATTAGTCATAAAAGATGAAATTCTGCCATTTGTGACAAGTATGGGCTTTGAAGGTATTATGCCAAATGAAATAAATTAGATGGAAAAAGACAAGTACCATATCATTTCACTCATATGTGGAATACAAAAACAAAACAAAGGAATAAAATCAAAAACAAAAACACATTCATAGAGGCAGAGAACAGATCTATGGCTACCAGAGGGAGGCTGGGTGGAGGAGGAGGAGAACAGGGGAAGAGAGTCGGCTGTGTGGCTGACAGATGGAGACTGGGCTTGCGGTTGTGAGCACGATGTAGTATATGCAGATGTCAAATTATAATGTTGCACACCTGAAACTTATATAATATTATAAACCAGTGTTTCTTCAAAATAAAAAACTTCTAAAGGAAAAAAAAGTATAGGGAGCAATGAAAAAAACACGGATAAGATCAAATTCACTGAAACCAAACAGCACTAACTGCTAAACAAATCCAGTTTTGTTCCACTAACTTACAACAAATCCAGCCTGTTATACAATTTCTTTCAAAGCGTCAAGGCCTTTTCAAGATGAAAATACCTACTGTAAGTGGGAGTTTTTGGTGCCCTGCAATAGTTCTACTGTCTGCCTCTTGGCACAGGAAACTTTGGAGGGCCCCAGCATCTGTTTCAAGTCACCAGCATTCCCAGAATGGGAAGGGCTTCGAGGCATGCCTACTTCAACAAAAGCATCATTGCAACCTGCAGAGAAGAGAAAACAGTGAAAACCCAAAATACCAGTTTGCCTTTAACAACCACCTACAATGGAAACAAACCAGAATCCAACGCTACGGAGACACAGATGCAGCTGCTTTCAGCTGCAGAGACGACACCTTAACACAGTCCAGCTGCCTCAAAAACTCAAGATGAAATTTGAAGAGAACATCCTCCTATTTTTCAAAGATTGTTAGGGATGAACAGGTTAGAAAAAGATATACCCTACTTAGAAAGAAATTATATACATGTTTCTATATACACACATTTAGTAAGTTGATGCTTTCCTGCTCTACAATTATATTCACTTTGATTTAGGAAGTTCCAATGTAATGGGAAAGTGATTCTTTCTGTAAGAAGTTTATCTGTTTTTCAGTTTATCTTTCACCATGCTCTTCAGAATTTCATTCAAGATGTTGTCTTTCTGCATGTGAGGCAGGATGAGTTGTAATTGGTGAGCAAAACCAATTCAAAATCACTGCGTGGACTTTCTACAGCCCCTCTATTCAAGTGACAGACCAGGGTGAAGTTTGGAAGGAAAGATACCTTCTGCAGGGTTTGGTTTGGGAGATGCCTGCTCAGATCCACTCGTTTGTCTAGATGGATCACCATGATTCGAACTCAGCACTTTTTCTCCAAGTGATGAAGTGGATATTACACCATATTTTATATTTGGAGACTGAAATGATAATAGAAAGTAATATGCAGTTATGATCACAATTCTAAAATTCATTTTCAGCTGAAAGTTTTACAAGTAGTGGCTTATCTCTTACAAAGAGCACAGGTCACGTTCTTTCACTGAAGGACATTACCTGTGCATGTCCATTTAAAGAAGCAGAGATTTTTTTGCCTTCGGTCTGCATGCTGTTGATGTGGACGTCAACAGGAGTCAAGCCAGGAGGGGGAGACGGGGCTGTGTGCCCGTAGGCAGGTACTCCAGACAACAAAATGTTGGTTAGCGTGGCTTGGGCAGTAGATGGAATCATAAGGTGTGGTACAGCAGAAAAACCTAGACCAATATTTCATGAAGACAGATATTAGAAAAATACTCAGAAGCAACATGCATTATATTGTTTTCAGTACCAACAAAAAACATTTTTATTGCTGCAGATTCAGAAGAGAATTCAATTGTGATACCTCTCTGCAAGTAGGTTAAACATTACTGCACAAAACAATGTTAAAATAGAGTAACAGTTTAGAGAATATTTAATCTAAGCTCCTCATTGTACAGATGAAGAAACAAGCTAGACTTAGTGTGCGCATACGGCTATCGAGCAATTCTAATTTCTCCAAGCCGAACCTACATTCCCTCCTGTTCAGGTCAGTGACCTTCATGTGACTGCCACTGCTCCCTGCACATCGTGCTCCTTATCCTGATCTGCTTGTCACATTTGAAGATTATATTTTACTTTTATGGAAAACCCACTGCTTTTTTGTGCATCATTTTAATTAATTTACACATTAGGAAATTTCTGTTAGGCTGCAGTATATTTGGAACCGTAACTTCTCCCTAAGGACACAGAACCACTAGTATATTTTATTTAAAAACTGGTAATACCTACAGAGACATGCCTATGATTGCACTTAAATGATACTGACCTGTGGCACTTGAAGTATTAGCAAGCGGGGGTGCCCATAACGTGGGGCTGGGAGTGCCAGAACTTGGACTTTGCAAGGGACTGACTGAGCTATTAAGAGCATTCAGGAGTGAGTTCGGGGTTGTTGAAGTGTTTAGAGATAAAGCGGTGGGGCCCAAAAGACCTGTAATGAATGAATGTAAAGTCAATATGCATAAATCCAAGATTTTAAAATAACAGACGGCACCAATACTGCCATTCAGAATGCACACTGATATAATCTGAGTGATAAGATTACCTTCTTTCAAATATTTACATGAAATACTGCATGATACAATTTCAACACAGGACCTCGCTTATCCACAAACAGATGCTGATGAGGAAATGGAAGGCAGATGTGCGTCCACATCAGGAAAGCAGGCAGGGTCACTGAGCAGCGCCACTGGCTCTGCATTCATTTCACTGGCCAAGATGAACAAAATTCTGCTCAAGTGGAAACCCATTTTCATCCATTTTCATTTCCCTGCATAACATAGCTGTCATATGCTGTCAGACAAACATTGCGAACCACTGACAATTAGCAGTGCCTAAGGGAGTGTCTTCCCACCCCAGATTGGCTCTGCCTGGCCCATCGCGGATGGGCCCAGCCACCTACAACACTTTTCATACGATGTCAAAACACATACGTGACTTCCTTGCACTCTGTCTCGATGTACGTGAAAACTTTTCTCAGAAAAAAAGTTTTCCCCTTGTTTTAGGGATTTAATGCTCGATTTAGGTAATGCAATTTTCCTTCTGGCATTTAAAATATGTTTTAAAGTAAAATGTGGATTTTTATACAAGTTTCCAGGAATACTTAGAGCATTAGGTATTACAGGATATGTATAGCCATAAAAACATTTTAAAAATTGAGTGATTATGAATCTCTACTCACTTTTTTCTCTCTAGTGCAGCAAGAACTCAGTTCCTGCCAAGTTCTGTGACTGGCATTTCCAGATGCACTGCTGTGTTAACGTGACTGTTCAGACCTCTAGTGGAAGGGACAACTTTTCCAAGAGGAAAAAAAATCTGCCTTTACTGTAATGGTGCCTAAGCAAGGCTACTTGGTATATTAATCACACTATTTAAACATGTTATTTTATTAAAGATTTTATTTTTTTAAAGAATAGCTATTAGAAAAAATTAAAGACTGCTGAGAGGAGTTTTCCTGTCTCAAGTCAACACTGAACTCGGCAGAATGATTTGCTAGGTTATTGCATTAACTCTTTATATAAAGGCTTTCAAGAAAATGTACAAGAAAGTAGGGAACCTAGCATAATTTCACAGAGCAACCACCTTCAGCCGGTAAGATGGGAATCCATTGTGAGGCAACAAATATTGCCGAGGCTATTGAGTGGCTCTCTCTACCTTAAAGAACTAAAGCACTGAGATGATGATTTCTTTCTTGGTCCTATACTTTGCCTTAGCTATGAACACAGGTCCGTCTGTTCCCTTGGTGGCCCCAGGCTAGGTTTCCTTTGTGTCTCAGGAACGAAGCAGGCCTAACCCCTGGGCGTGAGGGTTCTGCCTGGTCTCACCGCCCCCTCAGCACGCCCCTCAGCAGATCTGCAATTACTTTCTGAAATGCAAACTGGATAATCCGTATCTCTGGGGACTGATGGCAATATTGCAGATGCCAGAGAGAACAAACACATAAATTATAGTCGGCCTGCTGACTTCACTCTCAGTGGCATTCCTAATTTAGGAGAACAATCACAGCCGAAAATAAAACAGTCAGACGTTGATTATTTATGCTGAAATAAGAAGAATCTGGGAAACAAATCCATAGAGTCTAACTAAAAAACAAAATGGACTGATTCGAGTTTTGTTGCTTTCACCTGACCTGAGGGCTTGAAGAGGAAAAAACATAGCCTTTAAAATGTAGTCGCGCGCGCGGCAGAAAGAAAGGGAACTGGATTCACAATCCCCCAGTGACTGAGAGGTGCTATAATAATAAATTTTATACCTAGTCCAGTGAGTCCGAGGCCTGCTGAGGCTAAAATATCCAGGCTGGGACATGCCAGGCCGGCAGGGCACGATGCTGGGGAAGGACTGGTTGCTATGGTAACCCCACTGCTTTCAAGTCCGAGGAGACATTTCCTTGCTTCATACATATTTAAGGCATTTCGTTCAACACTTTTCACAATCACAGACTATGAAAACACACAATGGGAAAGAAAAAAGTGACATGCAAGTAGTCTACAATGAACTGGGCAGGCGGGTGAGAAATGAATGCAGTAATAAAAATTCCACTTAGGGAATTTATTAATGCTGCTTTAAAGAGTCAACTGCAAATTCTAGCCACTTACTATGTTTCCTCCTTTTGGTAAAACCGAAAGGCTAGTTACCATTCACTGGGTGTCTCCTGTATTCCAAGCACAATGAAGGAAGCTGCACACACATTCCAGTTCCCACCAAAACCTTATGATGGGGTGGAAATTATTATTCCTCTTCAGTGAGGGTAAGGGACTTACCCAATGTCACAGCACAGCTGTGGGGGCAGCCAGCGGGCTGGAACGCGGGCCATCTCTAGAGCCCATTCCCGTTTACATCCTCTTGTCTTTACATTAAAGCTTCCCCCCTTTATCTCATTTTTACAGAATAAATCAAACTTGTCTCCCTACAGTACATATACTGCATAATAACAGTCACTTACATTTGACATTTATGGTCTACCAGTTAACTAATAGACCTTGAGGTACCACTATTCCTCAATGATGACATATCTATGGCAAAGCTTACAGGAAAATAAATTCCTAAACAATAAATCTTTGTTATCAATGGACTCATCTAGAAAGCTGGAAGTGTGAACCCCAGGGGGGAAGCCTCCAACGAACAATAAAGAAAATCTGTGGCTGAGAAAGCAGTGGAAGCGGTGGTGAGCCGGGCGCCAGCAGGCATGAATAAAGCCCTGGGATGCCGCCGTGCTTGGCGTCCTCTCGCACACTCTGCTTCCCCTGACTTCTGCTCATTTCCTACTGAGCTCCAGGGGTTCTTCTTGTGTCTGCCCGTCTTAGGTGCACCAGTCCTCACAAGTCTATCACCTTTATCTTTTAGTCCTTGTACCTACAGTGACTCTAAGTCACCTCCTATTAGTCAAGCATGCATGACGCTTCATAATACAGAAAATTAATGCCCTAGTCTCTAACTTTAAACTCATTGTATCAGGTTCACTTAGAATCACTGCTATCTTTTCATTTAAAGTTTTCTTTTGAAGATGGCATGAGTTTGTCTTAAGCTGAACACTGAATATATTATTTACATATATAAAAAAAATTGTACCTAATATATATTATGCATATACCATTAGGTATATTTGATAAAACTTACAGCTTAGAAATTTAAAAACAGAAGGCATGACTCTTTGGTGTTTTACCTACTCTAATAAAAATATGCATAAATGATACCACTGAGTACATGCTATTATGCAACTTGCTTCCCCCTTCTCCCCCCAACACAACCTACCCTTCAATTTCTGGTACACAGGTTTCCTCGGAGTATATAACTAGAAGTGGAGTTGCTGGGGGTAGGGTATCACTCCGTTTAGTGTGTTTGGATGGTCTCAAATTGCTCTTGAAAGTGGTTGTGCCAATTTACAAAATATTAATATCAGACCAATCCTGTTTCCTCACTTTCTCACTAGCACTCAGTATCATTGGAATTCTCATTTAATTTTTACTGTGCATGGAATTACTGAAATTTTGTAACATCTTAACGGAAAGGTTCCAAGAAGGCTGAACTGGGTATAATTCATCACTAAAATATGTATTATTAAAGAAAATGGGCACTTCTTTACATCTACAGGGCTAGCACGGTCACTCAAAAAATGAATATTTTTTGGAATTGTACCGACATGTACACATACAATACTTAGCTTTATCAACTGCCTGGTAGCTTAGTAATGCTTAAAGTTACCAACTTGCAAATAAATTTAAAAAGGTTTTCTCTTTCCTTCTCAATATATTTATTGAAAAATAATGGTCACTAAAAATGGACTCCAAAAACCAACATACATAAGATAATGGTGATCAATAATGAATGTTGTTACAAGTTTATACTTGCACAAAATAACTAAATATGATATATAATGACACATATCATATAGGATATTTAGTCCCATGAATGGGCAAATACACACTTATATGCAAATAAAAGAGAATGTGATGTGACACATGGTTTTCTGGATCCAGACTCCACACCAACCTTGCTGGGCTGTTTTGGCTTTGGTTTAATACTAACGAAGACATCCAGCTGTTCCATCAACTGAGCGATAAATTGTGGATCAACTTCAATTTCTTCCTTCATATCAAACATCAGCACAAGAGGAAGACAACCCTAGGAAATGTCACAATACAGGGTGCAGGAGGTTAAAAAGCTATTCATTTAAACCCCTAATAATTTAACATGCCTACAAATAATGCAGTATTTTACAGATCTAAAGAGTAAACCAAAGTATCAAATCCAAACTACACACCTTCACGTAGCTCAGAGGGCTGTGTGAAAATAACATTGCATGGCAGAAACTACTTTTTGGTGACATATTTGTGTCTTAAGTTTCTGTTTTTGGCTCTGAATTTTTACGCCTCTCCACCTGGAAAAACTCCTCTGCTCTCCGATGTCAGTTGTGTTAGTGAGGCCAGAAGCTAGATTCTCAACCAAAGGAACGGTATTCATTTGAGCCTTTGTTCCAAGACTGACAGCAGTGGCTTTTCACTGTCTCCTGGATGAAATCTAAACACCTATCAGCATATAAAGATCTCCCCATTTTGGCCTGGTTGTGTCTGTGCAATCGCAGGTGTGTCTGCGTGTCAGCCCCCTCCCCCGGGCTGGACCAGCCTCTTCACTGCCTTGTACAGATACTCTACAGTGGCATCTTCACTCATCATAAGGCTTCTTCAGCAACACAAAGCCTACTTTTCTTCTGATGTACCTCAGACTTTACCTCCTCCCTCAAGCTAATTTCTGCACTGTGTAGCACTGCAGGGTTTGGTACTTGTTTTTTTCTCTGATGCTTTCTTCCTGGCCTCTAACCTACTGAGGATAGGCGCCACGTCACATACACTTTCTGAAGCACAGGATACTCAGGGCTAGCCTAATGACTGATGGGTTTTGTACGTAAGTATCAGGAGAAGGTGTTATGAAACATACTAGAATTAAAATGAAATTACTGTGTTTCATTTCTCTTGTGGACAAAAGTGATTTTTGTAAGGACATGGCTATTAAAAAAAGGTGATGGTGTTTAAAATATAGGTTGAATCCTTTTAATTTATCCCTCCCTCGGTTACTCCTTTTAATATTGTGCAATAATACTTTTTATTGCACACCTATACTTTTGGCAGGTATAGCCACAGTATGAAAAAGTTCACTGAACTCAAGATAATACCCTAAAGAATCTGAAAAGCAAGAAAAAATATGAAGAGTAAGCATAATAATCTTTGGATATGAATATGCTGTGTGATTAGCAAGATATTAAAAATAGCTTGATAAAGTAAATCTGGCTAAAAAATATCATTCACAACAAAATAAATTTCATAAAATTATGTATTATATTCTCTAATAATTAAAACAAGTTCTCATCTGTCAGAGAAATGGAGTCAACCATATGAAATTGAATTTCCTAAAAGTTTCTCAAAAACAAATTCTGCTAAGTTAATAATAGCAAAGACCATACGTGAAGCTTACTGATTCAAATGTCATTAAAGGTCAAGTTCTAAACAGAATAATACAACAGTGGTTTTAATAAAAATATTTGTTAGTCTACATTATGTCAGTTCATTTGGTAACTATATATCAACATTCACAATGGGTTTTTAAATGAAGATAGGAAGGATAAATATATTGCAAATTATAAGGTGGAAGCAGTACTGAATTATATAACTCTGCTATTTTTCTTCAATGTTTAACATTAAAATTCACAGCTCAAACAGCATTTTACAAATTATATCAGATTTATGAAACATCCAAACATTGCACACTATCAAAATTTGTCCTTGAGGGTAATATTTAAAATGTATTTTTACTTTCCTGTTTAAATAGAAGACTTTCTTTGCCAAATGAAAACTGCAAACCAATATAGGTCATATGAAAATAATAACCTTCCTCAAAATAGTTATTTCATTTGAACCTCTTCTGTGTTTAGTCTAAGTTTTAGAAAAGAAAAATACAGCAAGGAAATTACCTTACCTATATAACGCAATTTGGCCTGTGAGGCACCATCTGCCTCACTCTTTTCTTTCCTTTCACCAAGAAATGTCCTTAGTTGACCAGGTTTCCAAAGTGCTTTCATAAGTACCACTTTATTAAGGTGTGTGCAGCAATATACACTGTACCCAGAGATGTAAAAAAAAAAAAAATTGTAACACTAATTTCACTAAACCTACCATGAGATATTGCCTTGCAAGACAGACAGACTCAATGGTGCCCTGGAGGTAGACGGTGGATTTCTTTTGTGGATTACTAGGATCAGGAAAGTGGATCTGAGCACCTGTTCTCTGCATGATATGTTTGATGTTACTTCCGTTTCGACCCATCATAAAGAGATGATGTTGAGCTGCAATATCTAGTTGTGTGCTCACAGGAATAGCAGACGCCAAGCTGCCTGCCAGATGTTCCAACAGCATGGCAGTTCCTTCCTAGGAGAAAATGTGGGAGAGAAATACTTGTATAAGGTAACTGTTCACACACAGAGAAAGAGTCTAATGCACTTTTAACAGCTATAGAAAACTACAACACATTCTATAAACCAGAATGTAACGCAAGAGAAAATTCTGAAAAACAAGTCGAAAATTCTTTACAAATAAAACTTGAATCATTTGTACCCTTACGATGTTCGCAATTATCTCCATCACGTACCTTCACAGCACTAGTGTTATTCTGAGACCCTCGTACTATGACAGTAGCACCATACATTCGGGAACGCTGTTTAAAGGACACTGAAATGTTGTATGTTTGGGATATGTGCTGGATGGAGGGGGAATTAGGATCAGGAACTGGCTGAAGAATTCCAGCAATCGGTAGCTCAAACATCAGCACCAAAGGAAGCAGCTCCTAAAATGAAATTATGAAAACCCAAAGCGAATAGCTATATTATCATACATTTAGATATATGTATAACTCATTCATTCTTTTCTGGAGAGGGAATATTAAAACATAAATTGCTTTCATTATAGACATAATCTTGGGTAGAATATGTAAGGTTTCTTAAAGTAAAGGAGACTTTTATGAAACATGAAAGTTTGTAACTTTAATTGCTTGTGGCATTTTCCTCAGGGCTCTAATTTCAAAACCACCAGAGAAACTGAGTCAGGTAAAATCCAGAATGTTTCTAAGGAACTTCTTTAATACATGGAACCAACCTCTGTCACTATCTCCTACACAATGAACACACTACTTTATTATAAATGGATAAATTATGATATTTTTAATACTCTATAATGAAAATATTGCAGATAGTGATTTATGGTATTAAAGTAATAAATAGTTACCCGAATTCTAACTCGGGCAGACTCTACTCCTGCTGGTTGTCCTGCTATAGAAACCTGCAAAGACAAGGAAATTCAAAATCAGGTTTATTGAACCCACATCTGCTTTTCAAGTTACCCCCATCCTTGCTACTCAAAGTGTCCTCCAGGAAAAGGCAGCATCAGCATTATCCGGGAGGCTGTTAACCCAGCAAACCCACTTCTGAGAAAATATCCTAAGAAACTCAAAACACTAATTTGAAAGAATACATCCACCCCTGTGTTTACAGCAACATTATTTATAATTGCCAAGATCTTGGAGACAGCCCAGGTGTCCATCTATAGATGAGTGGATTAAAAAGCTGTGGTACATTTACACAGTGGAATATGACTTGATCATAAAGAAAATCCTTTTGTGATAGCATGAGTGACCTAAAGATTATTATGCTAAGTGAAATAAGCCAGTCAGAGAAAGACGAATACCATTTGATCTCATTTATGTGTGGAATCTAATGAGCAAAATAAACTGAAAAACAAAATAGAAACAGGCATAGATACATGGAACAGACTGACAGTTGTCAGAGGGTGTGGGGGGACTGGATGAAAGAAGGTGAAGAGATTAAGCAAAAAAAATATGTATGTGTAACAGACACAGACAACCATGTGGTGAGAGCCAGAGGGAAAGGGGGTGGGGGTCCCGGGAGGTAGGCGAAGGGAGGCGGCTGGGGATGGAAAGAGACTGCCTGGGGCGGTGGGCATGGACAGTGTGCAGATGCTGTTTAATTGAGTTGTACACTTGAAACTTGTATGGTTTTGTGAACCAATGTCACCCCAATAAATTCAATTTAAAGAAAAGGATCTCAGGCACCAACCCAGAACTGCTTAATCAAAATTTGCATTTTAATGAGCTCCTCAAGGAATTTGTGTCAATTGATCTACATTACCCACTGGGCTTACCTGAAACCTCACAGGCCCATGAGGCCATCCTGCCTCCTTCATAATTTGTCCTGTTCACTGCATTTTCTCCCTTTTGTTTAAACTCTTCGGAGACTGGATGAGTATCAATATGCAACGATGCTGCTGTACTAGGTTCTTAAGATGCTGAACTACATCTGTACTAGCAGGTAAAAAAATGTTGCTCTAAGACCCACCTCCAGCCCTCCTAGGATCCCCCGGACTTTCCCAGGACCCACCAACTAAAGATGTAACCTTGGCATCAGGGTAAGTGTGTTGGGCCCAGGACACTGCTCACAGAATGCCTGCTTATGCCAGACCAGTTGTCAAATATTTTCAATACTGCCCCTGCTTCCTACCATGGCTTTCGATCTAGTTCCTCATGTACACATCCTGCTGTCTCATCAGTCCCCATTTATTCACCTTTGTGGCAGATACAGTTTCTAGTATCTTGATTAGCTTAGAAGGGAAAAAACTTTTAAATAACTCAATATTATCTGATCTTCAAGTATGTACTTAAAATGCTTTCATGTGGACAGGTGAGTTCCACTTGTTTCCAAATATAAGACCTAAGAGAAATGGGTATGAACTAAAGAGAGACATAATTTAGAAGTACAAACTGGTAGTTACAAAACAGTCACAGGGATGGAAAGTACAGCACAGGGAATACAGTCAGTAATATTGTAATAACTACGTGTGATATCGGATGGGTGAAAAATTTAACAGGGTGGCCACTCTGTAAGTTACATAAATGTCTAATCAGGGCCTTGTACACCTGGAACTAATATAATAGTGTGCATCGACTATAATTCAAAAATAAAAAAATTTCTTAAAAAGAGAGCTACGACTGAACATTAGGAAGCTGGGCGCTCATGGATTGCCGTTCAGGAGGCTGTGAGAGAACCCCAGCCCGGGTGGGCGCTCGGACCAGCCAGCCTCAGGTCCTTCCCGAATTCACGTGCTCTCCGGGCCCTTCCTTACGGACTTCACTGTATGTTGCCGTCACTTCCCCCCTCTCTTCTACCAACCAGCCACTTAAGAGATCAAGAGTTTCAGGCCCGCCTACAACGCGTCCCTTTAAAGAAGCGGGGCACTGTCAGTCCCCACTGCATGTCATCGCCACGATGACGTTTGTGCTCTCGTCTCCCCAAAAAAGATACACACGTGGAAAATTAAGGCTGTAAACTCTGTTACATACAAATTCATGTGAAAAGGTAAAGCACCTGGTTGCTTTTTTCTGCTTGGTTATTCCTGTTGGAATCTGGAAAGTGGATGTGGCATCCTGTTTCTTCCATTACTTTTTTAATATTGTTGCCGCCTTTGCCGATGACATGAGAATGTTCTGTATGTGACACATCCATCTTCAAGGTGACCCGGTTGCTCTATGTGGAAATAATGTATTAATTCTTGACACATGAAAAAGGAAGGAACAACTCCCTAACACATCCCCCACCCAAGGGAACAGTATTAACAAAAAGTGAGCCACAGCAGGCCGTACAGATTTCTTAATAAGGTCACCTTAATCTAAAAATTTTTGACATCTATATATTTCTCGTTGGTTATAAAAAAAGAAATTCTTATTTTCAGACAAATTTGTCATATGAAATAGAAAGATATAATATTTAGCAAGCTAATTTTCGGAAAGTAGTTTTTAAATAAAATCAGGTACAATTATAAATAAATTACTCTTTTTTCTTTAATAGACATTATTCATGAAACATTTAATTCAAGTAACTAAAAACAGATGAAAACACAATTACAAGACTGACTATACACATATATATGCTAGTACAACTGTAGAACTAGGATGATAGAAAAATAGAAATAAAAATAAATCTCAATCTGAATAAAGAAGTATTTATAAACGTTTTCACAACTTCTATAATACTGTATGTCAAACTTTACAAAGTAGAGCTATTATTCTGTCTGGTAGGAAGAAAAATGAAGAGATCACAAAACATAGTTCTCTAACAGTAAAGTGGCTTAAGTAGAACAACACAAAGTATGAGATTAGTTATATTAAAGCAAAATGTAAAATTCTAAGACATGATGAAATATGGTCATATGGAATCCATGTATTTAATTTTGAGAAATTTAGTGCTATAAAATTATAAAGAGAGATACGAAATCTTTTCTCATTTACAAAATGGATACTAAAATTCAGTCCTTAGTAAAATTTAAAAGTATTAAGACAACCAGACATAAAAAAATATCAATAGTTTTATATCTTCTCGATTCTTAATTTTAAATATACCCATTAAATACTTTGGTTTTTAAAACAGCTCTTTTAGTTTAAACTTTGAAATACAGGAGGATATTCTTTTTAAAGGAATTTCTAAAATAGTTAATAATTATAAAGTAAATAATTCTTAAGAATAAAAAATAAAAAAAGAACAAGAAAAGAAAGAGGAAGAGCTCAGAAACCATCTCTATGAACTATCAGATGATTAAGAACCAGACAGCCTGGATTTAAATCCTACCTCCCCACTTACTAGCAACTGGATCCTGGTTAAATTCTCTAATATCTGTGCTTAGTTATGAGAATAAAAAATGAGTATTTTAAAAGTGCTTAGCAAAGTGCCTGCCATATAGCAATTTAAAGTGTTTATTAAAATTAATACTCACCAATGAGTATGCATTTTTAAATACTTAAATCTCCCTATTATCTCTATATATAGTTGCAGAGAATGTACAAGAGAAAGTGTCAGGTGTCATGCCATCTCACATGGAGCTTATGCAGGAGATCATTTCAGTTTTCTACTGGCATCATAAAGCCCAATATGCTAATTCTTACATTCTTCATTACTTGCCCTACACAAATAAGGATCAATGTCTACTTCTGAAGATGGCACATACATACATACATATGTACACTTACACACATACATATATATGTGTATATACATATGCATGTAGATATACCATTATTCAATTACCCAATAAGAGAGAACCTATTCAGATTTTAAACAGAACTTTACACCCATTGTAGAATCACATGTGCTTATTTTAAAACCCACCATTACTTTCTCCTGGTTTTTCTTCTCCAAATGGTTCTTTCATAACAGCATGAAGTAGCCCTTGCAGAGACAAGGTTCTGACATCTGAGTGTCCTTAACATTCACTTACTTTTGTGTCTAAGACAGACATGATCATTTCCTTGGCTTCCTTAACGTCTTCTTTCTTTCCAGAAACCTTAATATGGGGATCTATAAGAAATCAAAAACAAACAGCTCATATGAAACCTTTAAACTCTGTTTTGAAACAGATGTTACAATATAAGAAAAGAGATTCTGTAATAAATTCAATATTTGATTCGTTCTAAGTGTGTTATCACTAATAAAGATAAAAATATAAAAAAATCCAAATTCTGCATTCATTGGTTTCTCCTTCTAAAAACTGATTAAACCATTTAACTTTAAACTTAATTTAAAAATAAGTATACCATGTAATTATATTTTGAACAAGTGAGGAGTATACAAATTCCACTTATTAACTGATCTCTCATTACATCCAAGGCCCTGTTCTAATACTTTAAATGCATTAACTCATTTAATCTACACAAGAGCTTTCTTTGTATGGCTAGAGAGGAAACTACTGTTAATAGAAAAAACAACTTAATCTGCATTAACATTTATCAAAAATTAGTATTAAGTGACTAATATGAGGTCTCTCCAGAAAAAGTCCAACCATTGTTAATATAGCGAGGAGAGTTTGCAGGACATCGATGTAACCTGGCAGCCAAGGAAGTGTACTGGAATGCGCATGTGTGAATAATGACAACTTCGCTGTGCTAGTCAGTGGGAGCAGTAGACGCTGCTGAGTGAGAATGTATACTGTGCGGCCACTGCATCCAAAATTACTGAGCGAGTAGAGCAACAAATCTGCATCAACTTTTGCATTAAGCTTGAACATTCCTCTGAGGAAACTATTCGGGTGACTCAGAAGGCTTTTGAAGACGATGCAATGAGTGCAGCACAAATAAAAGTGTGGCATGAATACTTCGAAGATGGTTGAGAATCTGTTGGAAGCAATCCACATTCTGGAAGGCCTGCCACAAGCAGAACACTTGAGAATGCTGAACGTGTACAGGCTGCAATCAACAAAGATCAGTGACTGACAGTGTGAGAACTAGAAGCTGATCTGGGAATGCCAAAACTACTGTGTTCGAAATTTTGAAGCAGAATCTTGGCATGAAATGTGTCATGTTCCAGGGCTTCTGCTACCAGAGAAGAAGGAACATCGTGCTGCAGTTGCTAATGACTTGATTCAAATCGCTACCAATGAACCAGATTTCTGCAAGAATATGATAACTGGAGATGAATTGTGGGTCTATGGCTATGATCTGGAAACAAAGGCCCAGACATTGCAGAGGAAGTTGCCTGGTGGTCCACACCCAAAGAGAGCACGGCAAAGTCACAGGAAGATCCAGACCATGTTAAGCGTGCTTTTTACTGGGAAGGTTCTGTCCATCACGAGTATGCCCCTCCAGGCCAAACAATTAATAAGGAGTACTACCTTGATGTTCTTCATCAGTTAAGAGATGCACTATGACAAAAACGGCCACAGCTATGGGATACTGATGAATAGCAACTTCATCACAACAATACACTTGCTCATGCATCGTGTCTTCTGCAGAGTTATTTTGGTGAAACACCAAATCACCCAGGTGACTCACCCCCCTACAGCCCAGATTTGGCACCCTGCAACTTCTGGCTTTTCCCAAAACTGAAATCACCTTTGAAAGGGAAGAGATTTCAGACCATCCATGAGATTCAGGAAAATATGACAGGGCAACTGATGATGATTCCAATAAAGCATTTTGCAGAGTGTTTTGAACAGTGGAAGAGACACTGGGAGACTTGTGTCAGGTCCCAAGGTGCCTACTCTGAAGGGGACTGAGGCATCATTGTCCTTTATACAATGATCCTTGTATCTTCTTCAATAAATGTCTCTGATTTTCATAATACATGGTTGGATACTTTCTGGATAGACCCTCGTTCATATATGTTACTACTACTGCTTATTACTGCCATGGAAAGTTATATAGGAAAGCATTCATTCATTTAGCATCTACTTTCTGAACCTCCACTCTGTACCAGAGCATTATTCTAGGGGCTGGGGATCTGTCAGTGAGGAAAAAAGAGCCCTGTCCACATGGAGTTTACAATCTTGTGCAGGGAGACAAAAATTAATCAAATGAATAATTATCTAGTATATTAGAACCTAACTGCCGTAGGAAAGAAAACAAAAGGATCAAGAGTACCAGCGACGGGACAGGGGTAGGGGCATTAATTAGCCTCACTGATGAAGTGAGATGTGAGTAAAGGCGTGAAATGAGGTGAGGCAGCTGGCCACGCTGGAGCCTTACCGTGGAGGGAGGGAGGCTCAGAGCCAAAGCCCCAGAGCGGGGCTGTGCCTCTGCAGCTCCCTCTTCGGTCAGGTCCTCAAGTCTCCCCGGCAATCTAGGTGTCCTGTTACCTCACAGGTCAGCCTGGCAGAGACAAGGTCTTTCTGGGATAAGCCAAAAGGGCCATACCACTAGCTTTAGTGATAAAGCTGAACAAAGATAATTCTTCTTCATCATCACAATCATTACAATGCCAATCTTACTGCCTCCAACATCCAGCCTTCTCTGCTAAGTCTTTCACGTACTGTATTCCGCCTCAGGCTGGGGACAGCATCAGAAACTGTTTGCTGAGCATCTTTCACAATGAATAAGCAATTCTGCCTGAGTCCTTAGGCCATCAATTCTCTAGGATAAAATATCAGAGTCACCTGGTGGGGATTTTAATCAAATGACACATCCTGTTCTCATAGTATGATTTACCCATTCCCATTCCACCACGCATTTGAAAATCAAGATGGCATCAAGAGCAGGTCATATTCACAAAGTGCATTTGAGATACTGAAGGGATGAGGATAGAAATAGAAATACAGAGACAGAGATAGAGATAAAAAGAAAGAAGAATGGGAGGGAGAAAACATGTTTTTGAAAGCCACCCCCTCTTAGGAGCAGGACAGAGCAATAGCTTCAGCGCTCAGGAATGCATCTGGCCTCCGGGGGAGACACCCCAGCAGCTGTGCTTAGTTTGAGTCCCTGCCATCACCTCCGGCCCCCATCTTCTCTCCCCCCAGGCTGAGTCTCCCGGTGGCTGCGCTTGGCCTTAGGCACTTCTCACTCTGTTCTTGAATCCCTGTTCTGACATCTGCCCTGTCAAAGGGACGCTGTGAAGATCAAAGACCTTAAGATTGGTTAAAACTCTCTAAAACGTGTAAGCGTCAGGTATTATACGGCTGGGGGCTTAAAAGTCCAACAAAATGAATGCATAAACACCAGAAGTCGGGAGAGCCTGCACAATAAAGTTAGGGTTAGTGTGTTGTGTTCATAGCGCTTGTTCCCTACTGCATCCTAACCGAGAGGCGGTTTCTCTGTTAAGACTCTCTGCCAACTTTAACACATGTAAACAAACAAAGCATTTTCTCCAATAATTCTCATTGTATCTATTAGAACTTCTCTAGGCAATATTTACAAAAGGAGCTGTCTGCATTCAAAATTTTGGTCTCAACTATCTTCAGCTTTGGTCTGAAGAGGCTGCCTGGGATATTAATCTCTACTGAAAATGCTCACGACTCAGGACTAAAAATCGGTTTTCCCAAAACATGCTTGCTCATCAGAATTGTAACTTGCTAAAATACCTATTAAGTTCCTGGGTCTCCAGGGCCCATCATTCAGTGTTTTGTTGGTTTCCCAAGTGATTTTTTTTTAAATTAAGTATAGGACAGAGCAGATTAAACCACATAAAAAATGTAACTGCAGTCTCTTATGCATGGGCCGAGTATATATAACATAAAATGCATGCAGGACCGCTCAGCCCAGAGCACCAGAGCCAGGAAGAGGAGCCCACATAGCATCTGCTGTGAAAATCAGCGGGGACTCTGTCCAGCGGGCAGAAATGGCGGTCTGCTCGACTGGGTGAAAAAGGTAAGGGGTAAAGCAGAGAAAAAAGAAAACTCTCATAGAAACAGACCACAGTATGGTGATAACCAGAGGGAAAAGGGGGTGGGGACAGGCAGAAGAGGGTAAAGGAGGGCCTGAATGGTGAGGGAAGAGGTCTTGACTTGGGGTGGTAAATACACAGTACAATATACAGATGATGTGTTAGATAGCATTGTGCACCTGAAACCTATGTAATTTTATTAACCAATGTCACCCCAGTAAATTCAGTAAGAAAATTTTAAATAAACACATTTTATTTCAAAGTGAAAGAGCACCATCTAGTGACTAAAATTTTTAATTATCAAAGGATACAAAGAAGGGACACAAACAACATATAGTCGCCAACATGGAACATCAAACTGTCTCCAGGACCCAAGTCAGCACTTGTTTATAAAACAGCTCTTTAAATAATCAAGTCTCATAAATACAGAGAAAAACAAACATGACAAAATTCTGGTTTAGACTGTAGAGCAGCTCGTAGCAGTGTATTTTTCATTCCCCCTTTTGCCCTTGCTTACGAGATATCTGCAAGATGTACGCTCATATTTCAGGTCGAGCTTAATGAGCTCATTTCAAAACCTGAAATACCACTCTCCGCTCTCTGAGTGCTACAGCGTACAGTTCAAACGCGTCCCAGCGACACCACAGGGACGAGGGGTTCATTCAGACCCACTCTGGGAATACTTGATGGCGAAAAGTCCAAGTGCTAACCTTATGAATAAACACAAACACAAGGAAAATGTCAGCTGTGGAGACTGCTGGAAGATGAAAGAGAAATAGGCAATACGTGTATAGTCTCCCCCTCCCCCAAATTAAGTGCTTTGAAAGACAATTCCAGTTTCGGCATGCAAGTTTTGAGACATCTGCTCTAAAAATAACATTCATTGCTTCATAATCAGCCCTCACACTCCCCGAATACGGGGACAGTTCTGTAACGTCCACAGTGCCAAACCAAGTAACAGACACCCAGCAGACTGCCTGCTGCAGGATGGACCGATGGCCCCCCTGCGGGGCGGGGGGCGCAGGCGGCAGCGGGGAGTTAGCACAGAGCGGGTGCGATCTGTGGGAAGAGGCTAACCTCATAGCCAAGGTGACCGCAGGTCCTGCACTTCCCCAAACAGTCTTGACTGCAAATATTCTGCTCTTATTATCTCTATAAAAATACAGAGAACTTTCAGATATTCATCTAGCTTTTTAAATTCCTGCCCT